CTGTTGGTTGTGTTCACGTCGTAAGAAGCTGACTGGCCCGAAAAATGAAGGCTATCGTCAGCTTTTTTTAAAGGCTCTGCGCGGCTTTTCAAATGATCTACCATGAAGGGCGTCCCTGGTAAAAGCGTTAAAAGCCCTGCCGATCTAGGAGGCTTGCTGGTTTCTGTGAAAACCCGCACTGTAGATTGAGAGGTCAGCAGTGGCGTTAAGAATCCATCCGGGGCTTTCTGCTGCTGAGAGGAGCACCGGCTTTGAGGTAAGATGCCGGGCATCACTGGTGTACGCTTCTCACACTGCCCATAGCGCCTCAGATTCAGCGTTCTTTCTGGTACACCCGTCAGAACGTTAAATCACGGGCTTTAGGTGATTACCGGTAACCGGTAAGGCACCCGTTTTATCTCACGCCTGTCCACGGTGGTGGACAGGCGTGAAACGCATTTAATTGTCGTCATATCATATATAGAGCTCAATGAAGGTGATAGAGGTGTTCAAAATGTCATCTGCATCTGTTGATACCAAAATTGCATGCGGTTCGCACTCATTAATCGGGATTATGTTCTGAAGTGCGAGTTCTGTGCTGGTAATAATAATGCGAAGATGGTTAAAGTTGCCAATGCTTCCAGCTGATTGTACGATGGTGTCACAAAGCCAAAAGTGATATTGCTTCAGGTGCTTGTAGAGGCATGTTATCGGTAAATGCTGGGCTGCGGGGATGCAGTTTTGCAAAATATGTAGGGGTGAGTTTGCCTGCGAATTGTACTTAAAACGGCTTTCGCCCCAGTTCTCACGTACTTTCTTTTCAGAGCTTGGAGCATGGGTGTAGTTTCTCAAAATTTGTTGCGGGGCTTTGCGGAAACTAGACAATAAATTAAAAACCAAAAATGGATTAAAATGGTCTAAAAATAGAAAATGTGCATCCTGGCTAGAGGCACAATGCCACCCCATCTGGATTGGAAACACGGCTCTAGGCTGGTTATGTTCAGAATGCCTTTATCTAATCCTTTTTTAAATCAGTCTCAACCATCATTCAGTCTTTGGTGGCCAGCAAATTATACTTTAGTGCAAATGTACTTCCGAAACGAAAATGTTTGATGGTTACGCCGTATTGCATTTCATTTGCATTTGCTGTGGTGTATCGCATTTAGAGTTAAACTGCAATGTTTCTGAAACAAAAACTGGCAGCACGTTACTATTCAGACGGTTCAAAATTTCGTCGTTGACAGAAAAGGCACTTTTTCACCGCTGGGCAGAGTGGCCAGCTGCCCCCTGCCGGCAGGCAGGGGAGCAAGAGTACGTTTTTCCGCCCTTTCCAAAAAAGAAGGCAGGCCCCTTTTACGCAAGCAAAGGCTCACCTGTGACTCGCATGGATGACTGAAATTCGGGCCAAGGGGGCTCCCACAGCTGAGCTAGAGGGTGCTCAGTGAGGCTCCGCAGACTCTTTTCTGCATCAAGGACCTGTTTTCTGGATCACGAGATCACATTTTTGCATTAATTGTGAATAAGGTTGCCCATGTTCGATATCAGAAGGCCCAATTTTGTGTAAACGTGGCATTTTGCTGGTTCAACAGCGTTCTGAACTAAGAGACCCCGTTTTGAATGAGGAGGCTCGCGTTCTGAAGTAGGTGGTCCCGTTTTTATGCAGGAGGCCCCCGTTGGTGCCTACACCCAGCTTAATCTACATTTGTACGAGGTCAGGTTAGGTCAGATTGCGATAGGTCACGGGATGTTGCGTTAATCCCTTTACTTTCGGAATTGCTATTGGTAAGCATTGATTGCATCGGGTTTCTATCAGTCCACCAATTTTGTGTCCTATTCCTCATTGGGCCGGGTGTCGCTCACATGATTATCTCGGAGACCGTTTTTTTGCGACTGTGGCACAAAATGGGTATCATATTTTGTCGTGTTATGGAGCGAATCAGACAAGAGATTACCTTGTAAGCTTAACAAGACAGAACGAAGCCGTCTTTGTTAATGCCCACATGACGAGCGCATTACTCGGTACATTAGAGGTTCCACAGGCTTTAAATTTAACATTCCAAAAACTACGAAGTGAGTTTTGATTTTAACAGTGCATCTAATTGGTGACCGAAATTCCGGAAACAAATTTGTTGGCGGAGGAAGTTATTACGGCCAACGCAGTTGTAAAGTAAATAACTTCACGGGTAAAATTTCCGTTACCAAATCCGTCCCCTGCTGCTGGAGCTGTGCTGACACTAGACACTTTCACGGGTTAAAGGTTCTCTTAGCCCAGTCCTCTCGCTATCTACGGGTCTGTGTCCATAGCCGGCTATTAACCATCCATGACCAGTTGTGTCCAATGGTTAATCACTAATTTGTGTTTTCTAGATTTTTATTACACATGATGGAAGACGTTTAGGAACGCGTACACCCAAGCCTATTCCTTCGCGTAAGTAATTACAAAAGTGGTGTGAAGGGAGCTAATCATCTCTTAATGAAGCAAAACGGTAACGTTGCATAGCATTTCCTAAAAAGTCTACCCAAAATTGCTTGAATGTCCTACCCATTCCAGCATCAATACTTTCCACAAAACATACACCAACCCACCCCATCGCCCAGAACGCGTGGACACCTATGGCTTTGCCCAACCCGTGAAGTCCTCTACTCCATACCCACCTGTCACCCATTCCTAATCAGTTCTACTTAAAATATCCCGGACGTTACTCACCCGTTGCTATTGCTCTACAATGTGGGGAAAATTCAGGGAAGTTTCCGTCCGTCCCGATGACTCAGATGACTTGGGCGTCCGCCATCCCATTCACCCACCCATGGCGGATTGGGTTTGAGCTGCTTTTTGCACTTGCACTTGCTTTTTATTGCCTTTGTTTGAGTTGCTTTTTGCACTTGATGTTTGCCTATGACTGGGATGTCCCATGGCATGTAGCAGCAGCCGCGCTTAAGCTCAGGTAACGTTGGAGGGTAGGACAGACCGCGCCGAGTAATGTGTCGAGGAAACTTTTCGCCGCCAAATTCTGCCGATGACCCGGATTTCTACGATCGAACGGTGAGTCATCGCTCACGTAACGACCACGACTTCATTTATTTGGAGTCATACTTTTTTAATCGGAGGGGTACTGCTCTGGATCACGAGGCTTCTATATTCATCGGGAAGTCTTTGGTAAGAAGGTCTTCTTGGTAAGAAACCCTGTTTTCGAATAGGGAGGCCCTTCGCTCGATCAAGAAGGCCCATGTATTGATCGGAAGGCTTCTTTTCTGAATTTTTGCTGTAAGCATTTCTTGAAATGGATATTGATGCATGTAACAACTTGATAAGCTAGCAAGTACTCCCGATGCCGCTCCCTTTCCCATCCTTAAATGCAACAATTTTCAGGAGGCCAGCTGTAAGGAGGCCCATTTTGTCCACGAGGCCCTCTGGAAAATCCTGCCCCCAAATCTAGATCCGTGGCGCCGCCCCCTGCTGTAAGGGACTTATAATGTCTAAGTGTGATATCCAACTGTCATGCGTGCACACCTCACGTTCGTGGCGGGATTCAATGGCTGAAATAATATGTCACGCAGAAGGCTTAAACTGATCACAGCAGGCAAATGCGCACGTCGGGATCGAGAAGCTTAAACCAGATTTAACTGCCCTATGGCAGTATCATCAAGGAAAAACCGCCGGAACTTACTGAAATGTTATTCAAGCCTCGGCTGGTGATATCCTGGAAATCTTGCTCTTTGTTGAAAGCTGATACCGTTGGTATTCACCAGAAATCCCCCCCCCCCCCCCCACCCCCCAACATCCCTTATCTGACGCATGTAAGGTCAACGCCGCTCAAAATACCCTGCGTAAAGAGGATCACACCTTTCAAGCGCAGGATTAAGCAACCATCAGAATGACGCATTATCTGTTCAATTCCACAGCAAGTCGTCATGGCCACTCAACGCTGAGCTAATGACAAATTAGGCGGCATCGCATGAACCATAATGACAAACCCCGTAAAGAGCGGATTTATTCACCGCGTGGCACAGCCACGAAGATTGCTATCACCAGGGGAGCCAGGCCACGTCTTACACTGCCCCACCAGCGGCGTGCTGGGCGCCAGCTCTGCCAACGTAAGCTGAATCCCCGACCAGAGTCGTGGACACGCCGGCTGTCGTGCTTGGCCCGCTGAGCTCTCTAGCTCGCTGATTTGGACCACTGGACCCGCTGACTTGGACCAATGGACTCGCTGCCTCGGACCAATGGGCTCGCTGATTTGGACCACAGGACCCATTTATTTGGACCATTGGACTAACTGACTTGGACCATTGGACTAACCGATTTGGACCACTGTACTCGCTGATTCCGACCACTGGACTCGCCTATTTGGACCACTCAGCTTGTTGATGTGGGCCACTGTACTTCCTGATTTGGATCACTGGACTCGCTTATTTAGACCACTCGACACGCTTATCTGCACCACTGGACTCATTGATTTGGACCACTGCACTCGTTGACATGGACCACTCAACTCGCTGACACCATGCACGCGTCTTTGCAGATACCTCTCAGCGTCATCATGGTTGTATACGCACTTCATGTCTGCACTGCTCACACCTTCCCATCCGTGTTCGAGCGTACACATCTTAGTATGTGCAGTGTGTTGTGTGATGTGTGAAAATGGACAGAGTATGGAAGTCAGCGGATCGAGCGCCCCTACAGCTGCCGGGGTCAAAAATTCCGACGGGTTGTTGCCTCGCCAGCACTCCGAGAGCTGCAGCAATGTATGGCGTGCATTGCAGCATGGATCTTATGCGCATGTGCGTCCCTTCGTCACTTACGGAGCGGATGGACGCACTGAAGGCATTCCATGTGATTGTACGAGCCGACATTTGTAGAGAGCGGGTTCCTGGTGTCTAAACCGCGCACATTTTACCACACGGTACATGCATTCCTTCGGGGTCGGCGTCCAACGTCGGTTTCTGACCGATCGCCCAGTCACACAACTCGAGACCAAACCACGTCATTCCGATCCCGAATCCAACCAAGATCAACCAACGACACGATAAAGCTTCTTATATTCAGAAGGCATGGCACCAAATCACAACTGGCTCTCGCCCAAGCGACAATGATTGCGGACAACGCCGAAGCTCTGTATTGGCGCGCGGCCGACAGATGGCGGCCAGGGCAGCGCCTAAGTACCGGTCGTACCCGCGCACCGGCGGTCCAGCGCCGCTGCGGGGCCAGGACGATCCAACACTGCGGTCCCGACGGCCCAGCAGGGGCGCCAAGGCGGCATTTTGATCCTCAGGCGTGCGTCTGAAATGCGGGGCCGCGCGGTGAGGTCGGTCGTAAGGGGTTACCATCAAAGAAGCCAGAAGAACAGGGCAGGGTTCGTGATTGGGTTGTTGATTTGTGTTAGTAAACGGTGATTATTTATCCATTTCTGTCGACGAGGCAATATTGTGAGCGTCATTACAGATTTTGGAAAGCAAATTCCGTGCACAGTATCGCAGGTGCATGCCATATAGAACATTTCTAAGGCAGTCATTCATGTAAGGCCACTTAGCATGCTTGGATCAGACCAGTGCGTTTGCGTGCATAGATACGACACTTATCCGTGCGCATAAAAATCAAATAGCGCAGATTTCTCCAAAAATAATGTTATTGCCCCAGTGAAAACAAAAATGAAACCGCCTTAAGACTGTTCTATACAATACCTCAGGCTTGTGTTTACTGCAACGAATAGCACTGTTAGTACACGTAGCTACTGCCCGGCCAACAGGATGTGACTATGTGACGCCAGGTATAAGATGACCTCACAAGAAGTTGTAGAACCCGAACGAACGACCTTAGTTGAACCTAACGATACAGAATAAAGAACAAGCCAATCTAAGCAGCACGGGAGACAGGACAGGCACGTGTTAGTCCGATGTCTAACAACTAGATACGCTACGGTTGCCTGGCAGAATGACGTGCAGCAAATGGAACACCTTATTCGGTAATCGAGGAGGGTTCAGGTTACTTAAGCGCGCAGTTAAGCCACGCTGTGTATACCAAATGCGATGCACGGTGGTGTAACACATCACAATACGGCTTGCATCCACGTAGCCAAATACATAGACGTTATTTAACCGTATTTGATAGCTCGGACAGCCTGGTTGCATATTTGAGGTCCGGGGGGGGGGGGGGGTCAGCCGCCCTCTTTCGCCAGCAAAACGCCAACGAGGTACAATTCAAACGTGTTTTATTTAAAGACGCCAGCTTCGGTTATCCGTGTTGACTGGTGTTTCTAGCGTTTTACAACTCACTGAGCTATCGAATTGACAATGTTCCGGTGTCCTGTTGAGGAGAGGGGGGGGGGGGAGGGGAGGGTGCAGAATGGATCCGCCGAGCCTGAAGCGGATACAGGAACGTCCGCCTGTCCCATACCAGGATATCGCTACGGCGGGGTGCACCAGTGACGCTGGCAGTGGATTAATGTCGTAGGCCAGCTGCAAGTTGCTGGCCGCACTGCAGTTCAGGCAGCCTTGAATGGATCTTTTGATAATGCCTCCCCGGCTTCGGAGAGACAATGCGGTATACTTTCCCCGAATACGTTTTGTACTTGAAAGAAGCATGACTACGCCGACATAGGAAGTTAATCGTAAATGACCTTTCCTCCAGAGCATTATTATGGCGGGACTATAACTCAAACGCCTCAGTGTAACGTCACTGGCCGTACTTTGCAGCACCTTTGTCTGCAGGTACCATACCTATGCCCGCGGCTACCGGTAACGGGCCTGAGGAGCCCGTCACCAGCTGCCACCGGGAGGCCTGGAGGCGAGCTCTTAGGATGAGGGGAGGGCGGCGGCTCTGAAGGCGAGCTCTTAGGATGAGGGGATGGCGGCGGCTCTGAAGGCGGGCTCTTAGGATGAGGGGAGGGCGGCGGCTCTGAAGGCGAGCTCTTAGGATGAGGGGAGGCCGGCGGCTCTGAAGGCGAGCTCTTAGGATGAGGGGAGGGCGGCGGCCTCCTCAGCACAGCCACTCACCACGACCAGATGCTTGGAGCTCTTCTCCTTGTGAATGTTGGCCGATGGGTCCTTGACGAGGTCAATGGTGCCCGCCTTGCCTCCCTTCTTGGCGTGGGTGAGACTGTGGAAGGGAAAGTGCGTCAGACAGTCGCCACACGCGGACGCGGGGAGGCGAGGGGCGAGCTGTCGTGAGTGGCGCTGACGGGCGGGGGGTCGAGCGTCGTCCAGCGGTGCGGGTCATCTGTGGAGGCGACACCTGGCGTGGGCACGCCGGCCGCTCAACAGATACGGTCGGATCAGAGTCAGCGCAGTGCGCAAGTTCTGCGACGAGTACTGTACGCGAGCCCGGCGAGCCGCCGACTTAAGCACGAGCACCCACGTTCCCACTGACCAGCACGTCATGCTCCCACTGACCTGCTCTCGCTGACGATGTCAATTGCCACCTTCTCCGCGCTGATCTCCGCTAGCTTGGTCACCAGCTCGATCACGTGGGGGCAGATCAGAATCAGGTCGCCCTGCGAACGCACGGCAAATGTAGCCACGTCCCGCAGCTGCTCATCCGCCAGGCTGAGTCAGCTGGCGCGTTCCTGCCGCGGCCTGTCATGCCATGCTCGCGTTGACGCCCACATAGGCGAGGCAAGGCCGGCTTGATATGCGATGTCGTGGTGTAGCAAGATGGTAATGACAACGAAATTTCGACTCCGTCCACTTTTCATATGTTTAGCGGGATGACGCCAGGGTCAAAGCCACTAAAGTCATGGTAAGCGTTACGGGTCGCCCACACCAGGGCGAGGCGGGAGTGCATATCGCCGTCCTTGGGTAGTGAGTGTATGTGGACGGACTAGCGTGCGCCGACACCTCTCTGGAGCGGAGAAGAGTACTAGGGCCTGGCTCTGACTCAGCACGAGGTATGCAGTCCATTTGGTGCAGAATCCTCACTGCTCTGGCGTTTGGCGACGACCGAAAAACATAACCTTGTCACAACGGACGGCGCTTTACGACCCTATTTGATGCCATGCTTGATGCTTCTCAATCAACATTTAAATACGTCTCCCATTCGGCAGCTCCTCGAGTGAGCGACCCTTGCACGACCAGCTGCTGGAACAAGCAGCCGCTGCACGACCAGCTGCTCGAGCAAGCGCCCTTAAACGACCAGCTGCTCGAACAAGCGACCCTTTAACGACCAGCTGCTCGAACAAGCGCCCTCTGCACAAACAGCTGCTCGGGCAAGTGGTCCCTGTGCGACCAGCTACTTGGGCAAGCGGCCTCTGCGCAACCAGCTGCTCGAACAAGCGGTCCCTGTGCGACCAGCTGCTCGGACGAGCGGCCCTCGCACGACCAGCTGCTCGGTCGAGCCACCCATCCGCTGCGTTACCTTCTCCTTGCCGTTCTGTTCGGCCTGCTGTTTCTTGAGCAGCAGCAGCTGGTCGCTGACCGACGTCATCGTCAGCTGAAGGTTGTTCAGCGTGAAGCGGTCCTTCAGCTTGGGCTTGTCATGCACGTCCAGCACATACACGCCCTGCTTGGTGGCGACGAGCCATCGCTGGCGCGGCTTGTAGCCGTGCCGGTCATACTTGGTCACCGGTGTCACGTACTGTCGGAGATGGCAGAGGCTACAGAGCGCCGCACGTCACGCCCCGGCCGCAGGAACAACTGCTCCACCTAGCTCAGACACCTTATCTCATGACGTCATACCGTCAGCGTATCGTATCTGGTAACCACGAAAGTGGAGAGCGATTGGGCAGGATGACGTCATACCGCCAGTGAATCGTGTCTGGTAACCACGGAAGTGGAGAGCGATTGGGCAGGATATAGCGCAATCAGTTTGGGAAAGCCCAGTGTCCACATATGGCAATCGTCGCGCCTCTCGCAATGCAGTATGATATCTGGGACATCACCAAACGGATCATGTTCAGGGAGTGCGATAGTTTCAGGCATAAGAGAAAAGCGCAGGACCATATCTCTGGCACATGATGGGAGCCATGAGAACGCGACCTCCGCAAAAAATCGAGAAGAGCCGCACAGAAAGACTATGGCAGTGCCGATCCCGTTCACAACCTAGTTCGATGTGGCCCTCCATCTACTTCCATCAGGCCTCCATTGCGGCGGCCTTGACCTCACCTTGACCTCGCTGTTGTCAACCTTGGTAACGGCGGCGAACACGGCGCCCTTCATGGACTCGTGCTCGGCCGTCAGACGACTCTGCCGGAACGGCTGTGCGATTGTCTGCGGGTAGCTGGCCTTCTTGCCTGAAACGTGCCGACGAACGTCATACCAGGCGGTCGAGAGGAGGCTGTATATCCAATCGTGAAGGCGGTGAGTCCGTTCCACAGCCATCCTGTGTCGAAGGACCGCGGTCGAACGAAAAGATGGCGAGACTCTCGCCGGTCTAAGCAGCTGTCTGGTGAGATACTTTACAAACATAAATGACAGCTGGAATAACAAAAGTACAGAAGCACGAGTCGCCAAAACATTCAACTTTCCACTCAAAAACTTTTGAATAGGGCGTCAAGAGGCCAGATCGCGGAATTTCAGCGATGACAGTTCACTCCTTACGTCAGCCGAGGCTCTTAGAATGCACTCCCCATCGACTTAGACCGTCGTATTTCTCCACGTACCGATCACTGATCCGCGCCCCCTTCTCATTCCATCCCCGGACAGAGCACGACACACACGTCCAGGGCACTCACCCTTGAACAGCTTCTCTGCCAACACCTTCTGCTCAAACATGTACTTCTTGGGCGCTGGCAGCTTGTGCACGTACTTCCGCATCAGCCAGGTGCGGTGCATGGGGCGCAGCAGCTTGTCAGCCTCCAGACAGGGCGGCGGCGCCTTGGGCCACTTCTTCTCCAGCAGCTTCTTGGGCAAGGCGCGGGAGAGCCGCAGCAGCCACTCGCGACGTACAACCGCCACGAAGCGGCGGTTCATGTCCGTCACTGGGCCGTTGCGGGTCATGAAGCCCGTGATGAACCTGAGGGGAAACATCGCGCGAGTGTGCGTCATGGCTTGTTGAGACCGTGGCGGGGTGTTTATCTATTCGCGATGGTTGTCTGTTTGCGTGTTGTTTGTCTGCTGGTGGTGATTTTGAGTCGTTTTAAGAGGAATTGCTTATTTTGATTCCGTGGTAGCTTGCGCAATTCTCCGGCGTAGGTCGGAGTCATTTGGACGTTCATGGTGGCGTGGCGATTTGAGTGGTTAGTTGAGCGGCCGTAGTGCATAACTTGATGACCGCGTGACCAGGTTGAGCATACAAACTTTGAGCCCTATAGCCACGTTCTCAAATTTGCCTCAAACGTCAACTTTCCGGCAGCGTTGTTAAATATACGCACAGCCATATATACATGACACTATCAGGTGTACACAGCCTCTATCTGTCAATCAATAACCAGGAAGAGACCTACTTTCTGACGACGCCGACTGCCCAACGCCGTTTCTCGGCCTCCTTCTTCGCCAGGTGCCTCCTCATGTACGACTCGATGATGATCGCGCTCTTGCGCATCCTGCGAACAGGCAACGGTAGAGAGAATGGCCCATACATCAGCAAAAGCTGGCCGACCTCTTCACCATATGCAGTCGTTGCATGTCTAACAGAAAATGCACCAGTAACTCAGTGGATGTCACATCACGCCGAAGCAACGTGGTCTATGAGGGATGCTGGAAACTTTCCTAAGCTGCTCATAAATATGGTTGCACACATACGCTTAAGCTTGGATATCTGGACAGAAAACCGAGACAATCAGCTCCGCTGGGATTGGCCATGTACGCACAGATTTCCACTCCCGTGCGCCGGCATATAGATAAAAATGCAGCCGCGACTAAACGTCCTTGGAAGACCTCTGAGCGCGGATCACACCCATGGTAAGGAGACCCACTCACTCCTGGTACTTCAGCCTCTGCCTGCGGCCTCGCCAGATTTTGGTGATCAGGGTGACGAGCTCGTGCTTTCTCGCCTGGAAAGCGTCTTCCACGTCGAAGATGGTCTTTGGAAGGCGGATGAAGATCTTGGTTCTGAAATGTGTGCGAAGATTGGTCTGACGCTCCGGGTCCATGGTCCCGCATACCAGAAGCACAGGGGATATTCCGGTTGTCGGCTAAGCATGCGTCGTACAACAGGACTCCTCTGTTAACGTAGCGAAACCAGCATTCGTATGACTAATGTATCACAGTAAGACACATTGAGAACAACGCTTGTTGTGCGCTCTGAAATACACCAGATACATAATCCGTTGTAACCCGACCACTAACGTTGCATAATCTGCTTAGGAAAAAAACAGTCGAATGTATAGCAAGTTGCACCAACTCAAGACCCGCAGGAGATGTGTTTCTGCCATGCTTCACCCTCCATGTTGCAGTGATGCTGCGAGGCGCACGCACGCCACACCACAAACCCCACGGAGGATCCTGTGACATCCACAAACCGAGCCTGGTCTCAAAAAGGCAAATAGTCTCAAAAAGTCTTCCCTTCCCACCCCTGCACCATCACATCCGTCTTAACCCCGTAACCAAGGTCCTTCTTACATCGCCTCCACGCCGGCGCCAGCACTCACTTGCCCATGCTGTAGTGTTCGCTGTTGAAGCCGAGGTGCTTCATCAGCTTGTCGACGCCCTGACTGGGCCGACCACGGTGCTTGGGCCAGGTGTCGGGACACAGTGACTTGTACCGCTCCAGGAACGGCTCGAACGGCCGGCGGTAGGCGAAGCCGGCACGCCGCACCCGCAGGTTCTCCATCAGGCCCAGGTACTTGACCTGGTGGCTGATGATCTCGGAGTCGAAGTTGCCTGAAGGGGAGGGGAGGGCGGGGGAGGGAGGTGAGCGACACGCCGGACGCCGGGTAGGCTTTCCCTAGCGTCATCAGGGGAGGCCGACAGGCTGAGGGTCCGGTGGGGATATTAATCGGCGTCTTTAACCGGCAGCTCCTCAATGCCGAGGTTTCAAAAGAGGTCAGTAAAGCGCAAGCTCCATGAGACTCGGCGGCGCATTTTTTTCTGTAACGCTGAACTACCGATTTCGAAGAACTGCTACAGAACGGTGACTGACGCTTAGTCGGTATGGACAGTCATGCCGCACGGAGGTACGTACACAGATCAAATCAAAGTAGTAAGGAAGCACACCTTTTGCGAGTCCGCGTTTTGTCCTTGAAGATAACACCTTTAAGCTTAGCATGGGCATGTTAATCCATGCATCCTCTGCAGAGGTGCTATCGCCGTTATCAAATCCGTTCTCAAGTGCTGATAGCCCCTCTGACGAGCTGATTAGTTCGACCACTACACCAGGGTAACTGAGAAGTTACTTACCGATTACACCCCAACATCGCTGCCATGAAAGACTGCGTGATGTAACAGGAGGACAGACATCAACAGCCCACGGTGGGCAATATGATTTTAGAAGCGTAGAACAGCTTCCAGCAGACTCACGCGATTGTTTGACGTCGTTGGGCTTGATGCAGCGTATGTAGGAGGGTTCCTTCGACATCAGGATCGTCATGAGCTGGTCCAGGCTCTTCTTGAACTGCGTGCTAACCGTTTCCGGCATCTTCTTCCCTTGCAGCTCCGTGGGAGGGAAAATGTCCTACGTGACGATTAGAAGTCTGTTAACCAAAGTGAAAGTTGTCTTGGCCGTCGTCTAGACTAGAGGAACCCTGAACAAGTGAGCCAGACGGTAATCTTAAGACACGTCACCAGCCATTGACGCTACAGACGCCTTCAGTGAAACCAAGGAAGCAGCTGACCTGCACGATCTTGTTGGTGCTTTTGGCCATGACCTCCTTCAGGTCACGGTACAGCAGGTCGTTATTCTTGTCCATGAAGCCCTTGACCTTGTAGGTGACGTCTCCAGCGTAGTGCATCAGGCGGAACTCCTGCGAGGGTGAGGAGGAGGGGTGTCGGTGTAACGAGACCGCTTTGTGAAGTTCGCAAAACAAGTTTGAGTGGCCGAAGACAGAGCTGCAGTCAGTTTTTGGATGAGAGGGGAGAAACCTAGCGAGTTGAGCGTGCCAAGTGGCAAGGCCTGGTCGTAGTAGAAAAATCTGGGCGGTGGTTCAAGCGCAACAGGTATAAATGTTTGATTCAATCGTCAACGTACCCAAGGAAAACATTTAAATAGGGACGCTGAAGGCGCGACCTGAAAATTTATCTCCCAAAACTTGAACATTTCAACGCAAGCCAACAGTTCCCTACATCCAGAAGGCTGAAGGCCGCTCCACGTCGAGACACACGTCAGCTGCACGTTAAACCCAGACCTACCACTGCACCGACGAACACGAAAGGGCATCGGTGACCATTCGTGACTCTATTCGACCCCTCTCATTCCCCCGCCCCCGAAGCAGGACCCACGTCTCGCCCGATGGTCTTGCGAGCCTTGTTGTCGGCGCTCTCGTGGGCTACGTAGTGGGCGTGTGTTCGCAGCGCCTGCGTCATCTTGTTCAAGAAGGTCAGGTCGGTGGCGTCTCCCGGCCTCAGGCACTCCTCGTCCAGCAGCGATACGAGGCCTGGAGCGCGTGCACAAGATAAGACTGCCGTGATGTCGATCATGACGATGGTGTATTCGCTACGTGATTTAGGACTGCATGGAACTGAGCGTAGCGGTTTTGCCAGGGGGCCTGTAAGTCCGTTTAGTTTAAGCCAATCGGTTAACCACTGGCGCATCTAAATGTGCTATGCCGGTTTATCGTCGTTAAGACCGCATGGTCACGAGACGCTCATAGTCCCAAGTACGAATTTTATCCTTTTTACGTATTCTGTTGTAAAAGAAGCAACTAATCACCGCGTTCATCCGTAGCAACACCATATGGCCGCATTGACGGCGCCTTTGTTCTACAGTGACGTCAACGATATCAGCTCGCTAGACCGCCCAAGAAGCTGCGACCACGCTCTCACCGGTGTGCTTCCTTTCGATCATGTCGCAGATGATCTTGTTGTTAAAGTACTCCACGGGCACCCAGGTGATGCCTTCGGCCAGGTATTCCTCCTGTTCAGACTTCAGCGTCAGCTCGATGAACAACTGCTGCAGCTTCTCGTTACAGTAGTTGATGCAGAACTGCTCGAACCTGCACGGAAAGCGTAACACGGGCTCAGAAACATTCCAACTGCGCGGAAAAGGCAAAAAAGGCTCCGGCTCCCGGCCCCCCATGGTGGCAACAATACAAGCCGTGATGTTACAAGAGGTACATCTACCACACAGACGCACCCCAGGGCACCCCAAGACACTCATCCAGCACGTAGCATTGCCAATCGCCGCAATGCCAGTCGTCTCCTCCTCTCAGGAGCCCTCCCTCCACCTCGCCGGTCACGCTAGCGGCGGCGGCGGCCACTCACCCGTTGCTCTTGAACACCTCGAAGCCGTAGATGTCGAGGATGCCGAGCAGCGTATGGCGCGTCGCCTGGCCGTGGCTGGCCAGCGACGTGTTGAGCCGGCGCACCAGCCACGAGAACAGGCGGTCGTACACCGCCTTGCTTAGCGCGTCCCGGGCGTACGCGCCTGAGCAGAGGGAACGCGTCAAGACGTGGAAGTGGTCTTCTGGGGGATAACTCAAGAAAGCGCTCCTGTTGCGACACGGGCGGGAGGGGCGGAGTGGGCGTTTGATTGCGAGTGGATGCGTTCGGGGAGGCAGCTGAGTACCATCGCAAGTACACAAGCACGAGAAAGCGCTGCCCATCACGATTCACGCTCGGCGTGTATAACAGATGTCGTGTGTTTTAAACCATACCCCTTTACCACACGAAGAGCTGAAGTGAAGTGAACAAGTAACAGCAGGATGTCGTTCGCGCTAAGCGTCGCGCCTGGCGCCTGGCCTTACTCTGCTCCACTCCCAGCGTGGTGGTGACGACGTCCGACTGAGCCTCAATGGTCCGGTGGGTGAGCGCCTGCTGGACATCCGCCACGGGCACGCCTAGGACCTGCCGACCGGGGCAAGCGGCGTGAGTGTAGGCACGCGGCACAGACCACGCTCTCGTTCTGTGTGCAGGCACGCAGTCGATAGATGATACTGCTCGGCATGGTTTTATGTACAAACCCATGGCAAATATGCACCGCCAAGCAAGGTCAGCATCTTCTGTAAGGCATAGGAGGAAGCTGACGTAACATCTACTCATAGGCAAAAATACACATCGACCACGCACTCCGCAACTCTTGGTGTCCCAACAAAGTACGCGGGTGCGAAGCTGCCCTGCTGTCATAAGGCAAGAAACCAACCTCTCCGCTACCTTCTCACTACCTCCACCCTCCGAAATTACCTTGGAGATGCGCTGAGCAACCTCATTATTCTCAACCTTGCAGGACGTGCCGTTGATATCCTCGAAGCGGATGTTGCCCAGGTGGAGGATAGCAGCCACGATCGCCTGCACGTCGCGCTGCTCGCCGCTGCCGAAGCCCACGATCTCCATCGAGTTGATGACCGTGTTGTACTGGTCGCTGTCGTGCATGTTGTTGCGCATGTGGCCCGACTGCGGTAGCCGGGAGGACGTCTTCAGCAACACGGCGGGGAAGGGAACTTACGGCGGTTCAGGCCTCGACCCCGCCATGAGAATGTGTGCTTCACGCTCATGGGCTGCAGCCGATCGGTACCAATAGCGAATCATCTAAGGGGCGTTCTGTGTGTCCGATCTGCGAGCCGTGAAATGATGCGATCAGCGGTGAGAGCGTCAAAGCTGTGGCATTACGACGAGCTGACACGCCCTACTTTTGCAACACTCGCCCCCTCCACGTATCAAGCGCGAGCTAGTGCAGCACGTGCGATTCCTGGCACGAGCCGATGAGATGAACGACCCACAGATGCGGCAGTGTTTATTTTGGCATTCCCGCTCACCCATCCCGTTAGTGCGGCTCCGACGCCCATTCCTTCGCACGTGTTGCGCTCGCACGGGCTGGCCCACGCCCCACCTGCTTGGTGTAGTCAAAGGCCCTGGGATCTCGCTCGAGACACAGGTCCTTGAGCAGCTCGTCCGACGCCCCGGCCAGCAGCAGGTGGAAGATGTGGAAGTTGCACTCGCCGGGCGCCTGCGTCACCACGCGGGACTTCTCCAACAAGTAGTTCCGGATGTGGCCGCTAGTGGGCTCTCCCTACGCGCGGACAGAACGTTTGGTGAATGACGTGACCCTCCGGCCGGAGGTGGCGTGGAGGCGGACGGCGATGGCGTGCTGTTGACGTCGCTTGGCAGCGGCGTGGGGGCAGCTAATCTAACGACGCAGCGAGGCGCCCGGCCAACAGCTACCTTGCTAACCAGCTACGCTGGCTGTAACTGCGCGGCAGTCAGGCCGATCGTGGTGAGGTCCACAGCATTCCAGGGGCTTCCATCCAAAAGCATCACTCTCTGGCATAGCGGTAAAAGAGGCTCACACAGCACGAGAGCATAAGTACCTTAAATGATCCTCCCTGGTGTGTCTGCCCTGCCGCTCCCACTTATGAAGCATGGCAAAGCAGCACGGTGATACGACTCGGACCACGTCATCACAGGTATTTTTTGTTTCCAATCCGAGCCCCACCGCAACTCACCACAAAGTTGAACTCGACATCCATGTACTTCCCGAAGCGGCTTGAATTGTCGTTGCGCACTGTCTTGGCGTTGCCGAACGCCTCCAGCACCGGGTTCGACTGGATGAGTCGGTCTCGCACGCTCTGAACGTCCCGCCCCGTCCTGCTGCATACCACGCCGATGTACTGCAGAATCTTCTTCGAGGCTTCAGTCTTTCCCGAGCCAGATTCACCTGAAAAGAAAGGGATGTCATGAATACATTACAGGATTTGGTCGCCATGCATTGTGAAGTAGCGTAGGATGAGGCTTCGTATTTGAAAGTCAGACATCTGAGAGTAATCTATAACTGACGGTCCGCGACGGTAACAGAATACAGCGTAATGCTACCGACTAGACTTACTTGGGAATTAAATCTATTTAATTCTGGTTTTAGAATCAGTTCACTGCATGTGTATTTGTGACTCTCTTTGTGACACCTCAGCGAATAATATAACACCCACATCCTGGATTACTTAGCGGGGATTAGCATACCTCAGCTGTCGAGGATGGTCTGAGCCTTGTAGATAACCTTACTGACAACCATATAAGAACACCCAAGAACAACACATATAGCACCGTCTGATGTTTGTTTGACTGCACTGTCCTGCCCGGCCGTCGGGCTCCAAAGTCCAAAGGTAATCTCGGCGTCATGCTTACAGCTCCTCGCCATTTAAAACCGGAGTTGGCGACGAGCACCGAGCCCTACTCTTGAACACCGATGTTCTCAACTGACGCCCACACACAGTCCTCAAGTGGGGGCTGTCCAGGCTGTTATGACCTCACAGCCCCGCTGACGTCATGAATGTCTGGCTGAGGGCTGGAGCCTGACCGCACGTCTCGCTGGCTGCTGAACAGCCAGAGCGCCTCGTTGGTGGAACAACTGCACGGTCAGCACACTCTCCTACAGTCTACTAGCCGGACAGTGAGCGGCGGGACTCGGCTGTTTGTCTGACGGCCAGAGCGCCTGGGTGGCCTCGGGGTTCAGCTGACAGCCTCGGGCCGGCAGACCGCCACACTGTTTGCCGACGGGTAGGATGCCTACCGGCAGGTCAGACCTTCGGGCGACAGACCAGACCGTCTACCACCAGGCCAGATCGTCTCCCAGCAGGACTGACTGTCGACCGACATGTCGACAGTCAGTCAAAGGTCAGGTCGACAGGTCGACAGTCAGGTCAGACTGTCTGTCGACAGGTCAGACTGTCTGCCGACAGGTCAGACGGTCTCCCTGCAGGACTGACTGTAGACCGACATGTCGACAGTCAGGTCGGACTGTCTGCCGACAGGTCGACTCGCACCCAGCCATGAAGTGCCCGCCGGGGTCGATCGTGGCGTCCACGCTCACGGATCTCCGACATGCCAGCAGGGCTCATGAGCACGGCCTGATAGCAGACTATCGGCCTCCGCTATCGCCTATCAGGCTCGTTCAGCTACCAAGGCTCATGGTCAGTCGGAGCCGACACTCCTGCCCATCTGATAGTGTGGCAATGGTTCGGCGCGGCCTGAGAGCAGCGAGCCGAGCCGTCCCAGGCTGGCATGGCCCCAGACCACCGGTAAACAATAGTGGCATGATTGTTGCGTGCCGCGCTGAATGAACCGCCGCGCCCGAGGGGAAGGTGACGTGAACGAAGTGTGCGGTATCGTCGCATCTGTTTCGAAACAGATCCAAGAGCGGCTGAGTGCACACGGAAGGAGCAGGGATAGAGAGCCGCGGAAGCGATGCCATCGGGACCGGTGAAAACGTTATCGGATTCTGAAAGCTTAGGGAAAGGCATGTGGACGATACCGCTCAGCCAAAAGAGAATAGAAAGTCCGAGTGCACCGTAAACAGCGCCGAAGGCAACAGCGGCCTTCGAAATTTAACCACAGCCGTGCCAGATGACTGTCAGCTAAAGGTATATTCGCCGCTGCACATCAAAGGCCGAAAATAACCAACAACCCTGACCATTTCCAAGCAGGAGCACAAAAACTTGTCGACGCAACCCTCTGCCGGCCAGTTTTTCACCCCTCAGCGCGCATCTCCGTGCACAAAACCTCGAGTCCGCGCGGGCAGACGCGGACCTGAGCTGCGGCGGCCCGCCGGTGGGCGTGCCGCCTGCACCGAGTTTGCTGCACCGCCTGCACCGCCTGCACGGGAGCTGCGCCGCCGCTCCCGCACCGGCGCAGCTCTCCTGCCGCCGGTCACCGAGAGGGCGGCGCAGCTTTCCGGCCGTCGGCACCGCGCGGGCGGCGCCGGCCTGGCGCGAGCGCTGTCCGGCTGAGGGGGCGGGAAGGCAGGCGTCCATGGGTGTAGGGAGGTCAGGGAGCGAGGTATGAAAGGAGCATGAACATCGAGGGATGTGTATGTTGTGTGTGTGGGGGGGGGGGGGGTTAGGGAATGAAGGATGTGCAGAGGCTGGGGACTAAAGGATGCAGGGTGGTGGGGGATTGAGGGATGAGGGGGGGGGGGTCAGAGTGCCAGAGATGGAATAAACCCGAAGACCGAGGATACGGGAAAATCAGAAACCGAGGACGCAGGGACCCAGGGATAAAGGGGTGCAGGAGACCGGGTTCTGTGTGTGGGGAGGCGAGGGATCGAGGGATAAGGAAAGCCCAGAGCTCACGAGATGCCGGGAGCCCGGAGACCGAGGGATGCGAGAGGTCATAAACCGAACGATGAGAGAAACCCGGAGGCCGAGAGGTCAGTTCGGGGAGGTCAGAGACCACGTATGCGAGGAGGTCACCGACAAAGAAGTGCGGAAGGCCGGTCGCTGCTCATGCGGGAAGGGTGGAGATCAACAGCCGCAAGGTCGGACAGTTACCGGTCCTCTTGGGAGCTGATTCCATCGAGCAAGCCCATCTGGCTAAGTCTTCTGATCCTCACCACCTGCGGAGGCCTGCAGTTGAAAGGTACCGCATGAAGCACAGCGGACTTTTCACACATAGATTCCTGCGATTGCACGAGCCGTCTAGGGCCGAGGGGGGACAGAGCCGCAATGCTCCCAGCAGTCCGTCAGGAGCGCATCCTCGGCGCGTTTGCACCGCCGCATGGACTTTATCCAGCCACTTGCGGTGCGTAACAACGACGTTCTGCGGTCGCCTCTCCCAGCACCGCTGAAGAGAGGGAGCGGGACGCTGCGGTTTGCCGTCCATCCGGCTGGAGAGTGACGTAACACTCGGGTCCAGACGAAAGCGAGCGTGATTGGCCGCGGCTGGCTCAGCAGAGGCGTGATTTAATTGGGTCACGCGAGGTGGCGCCTGTGTGTTTGCCGCATCGAGCGGAACCTCGCAGACTGGGACGTCGTGCACGGCTAGCTCCAACGCTTGTGAGGAAACGGGGATGTCTCCACCGCGACGATGACGGACAGAGTGACGCCCAACAGCCAGGGAGACGATCGGCAGCTGCTGCAGAGTGTGCGCAGGTGCGCGCGACACCAGGTGTGGTCGGCTTACCTGAGATCAGGATGCACTGGTCTCGGGTCTCTTCCACCATGGACGTCAGGGCGCCGTTGATGACCGCGAATCTGTCACGGGAGGCGCGTTATCGGTATATCGATACAAATATCAGTATCGCTAAGCGTCGGCACTCTCGTCGCATGGCACCCTGTCATGAATAAGATGCATTACTTCCTGGCTTTGAACAGAAACATAAACTGGAGTTTTGATTAAGACCATCCGTCTTTCTTTTGGCGTTAACAGACGCTTTCAAGTACATGGGACACCAATAAACATATGCGATCGATTAAGTCATTAGCGGCCCGTTGTGCCGGCCGGTCCTATCTCTCATCCTGATATCGCTTACATACTGCCGTTGTGAACGTGTGCTCTTAGGATGCAGGTGTACCAACTGATCCCTCTCAACGTGTTGAACGCAACCGAACGCAGACGCGAGGGAGCAGCACACTTACATGTGCGGGGGCAGTCGTAGTAGTGACACCTCGGTACTCGTTCACGCGCTTCTCGCCATAGATCCCGAGCTCCTTGTACGGGTTGACCGAGACGAGCACGGGTTCCGATGTACGTCTGTGGACGGCAGAGACGGTGGACGGTGCGTCACAGGAACGCGCCGGTCATCGCGGGCCCAAGGGTGCCCCGCTGTGCGGCACAGGCGGCCGAGGCAGGCGACCTTCTGGGCCCGCCTCCGTTGCCGTTGTTTATCGGCTGGAGCCGTGTCAGCACTTAAGTGCCCGTCGGGCGGAGGGGCACGAGATTCCACCGGCCATGTATGGGCAGATCTTTGTGCCGGCTTCACACCGCGTCTCCGCGATGGGTCGCGCCCAGGTCGTGACCGGATTATCGTGGCGTTCGGTGAACGAGGGGTTCATTGTATGTAGATGTATCGTTCGTAGTGCCGCCAGCGACAGGACGTCCCCATCACCGGCAATACATGGCAGACGAGGAAAGAATCACCCACGGAACAGGCGGAGGGGACATTTTGATGCACTCAGATGCATGCATAAATAAGCAGGTCTCCAGTTATGCTTGACGCTACGAGTGCCAGTCTATATTGGACACCTAACCGGAGGAGGGTGGCGCATATATTACATAACAATCCACGGATATAGCTCTCCATAATCCATGGAGGGGATTCGAGAGGAGGACAAACGTTCATGTATGGCCAGTCGTGGTCTTCGCAGCCGCACCTAAGACCTTACGTAAGTCTGGGATTGGTCAATGTGGTCAAGGAGCTAAAGCATTCTCTGCCTCTCCCAAATGAATACAAATTACAGCCCTGTTACAGCCTTCTCACTAGGGACGTTCGCTTTATATACTTTCGGTAGCCCCGAGCCCCCCTTCCCCCAACAGCAGTGCTGATTCGCGCCCCCCCCTTCCCCCCAATGCGCTTATGAAACCCCCTCAATGCCTATGAGTAATGCGGGATGCCGGGCCAAACACATACAGGACAATTAACTATTGGTGTGCTATATACCAGGTACCCTAAGCACTTCACTAATAGAATCATATATATTTTGTACCAAATAGTATTCTACAGGTACCTAATTTGTTCTCATCCTAACTCCTTCATATGTTAAGCTCTTGTCTGAAAATGTTGACAAGCGTTCTGAAATAGCGCCCGGATTGGCATAAACAACCATTAACTGCAGTATATGTCACTTTTTTTAAAAGTACAGGGTCCCTGGTAAAAGCTAACGCATAATTTCAACCAGCCAATGTCAAGTGTATTTGTCGCACAGTCGTGGCTATGGTGGTCATATGACACAATCAGCGACTGCGGTATTAATCAGAGATTCTCACTAAGGTTTGCTATGATTTTTTTCCTGTAAGCAAACCCTCAGTTTAAGCTTTTCATAAATAGAACAACTCCCATCAGCTTTGAAATTAAAAGTCATTTCTCCGCAGGAAGACAATTTTCAATCTACGAAATGCAAAACAAACTTTGTCTTAAAATTTCTACTTAGAGGAAGCAAGTTCAAGTGTCCGAAAACCGGGGAGGAAAACAGGTTTTGGGGGGTAGGTGAGGTCAATTTTTTTGGGGGCTGAGCCCTCCAACCGATTTAGAAAGTGACACCCTGCTTCCCACATATCAATGATCAATGAGTGCGGTCCAGCAGTGCTTCAGTAGCCTAACTTTATCTCCCTTTGACAGATTTGGACGCATCAACCGGCTCCCGACCGTGAAACCAGAGCTGAAATTCGCTCGTTTGGTATTATTCACAGGCTCAGAATCGCTTGGTATTGTTTATCGCTTGGTAAACACAGCACATGTCCTGAATAATATCTTTCATTAACGACGTCATCACTTGTGAGAGAAACAACAGCGCGCTCCGTAGCCTCAGGCGCGTCGGCTACCAGATGGCCCTCGGCAGTGGGCGCCGACGTCATAATGACGTCATTAAGTGGCACCAGGCGCGCGACCCTCGGTCGTCGCGCGCCGGCAGCAGCTGTCGGTAGGCGCAGTGACGGCATCAGGTGACCGCGACGCAGCCTCGCGCCTCAGTTCGCACCTGAAGCAGGTGCCGCCACCCTATCCCTCGCCCACCCCCGTCCGCTCTCCAACGTGTCGCAACGTCCCTTTGTGGCGGTGCAGCGTGCACGCCAACATGTATTAGCGAGAGCCGGCTGCCCCGTCGCGCGGGCCGCGGCCGGTCGCAGATGTTGCCGCACTCGGCTCGTGCATCCACGCCCGGGTTGCCGTGGATAAAGGCCCCCTGTCGCCGGCGCCGCCACTTAGGGCGTCACGGTTTGACTCACGGGCGCCTGCACTAAATCGCAGGAGGAGCAGTCACGAACCCATAGACTTCGGTGGCTACGGACCGGGAGATTGGGCTCTGAAGCTCGAATGAAGGCGCGCATTGCGGTTTAGGCCCAGGCTGGCGACCGACGTGAGAAGTGGGTCTATTTTTGGCGGGAGATTGGGTAACCACGCGCGCAAAACTCAGCGAGGACTGATGCGGCACGACGCTGAGCCAACCGATTATATCAGCGGCCGGACGCGCCAGTGTATCTCCGGCTGCGTATCATAACAGTATGCTACGTATGTTATAAGGGCTTCCAGCGCGGAGCGGTGAATAAAAGAAGAGCGCACGTGTTTGGAGGAGAGTGGGATTGTCCTTTGTATCGCGACTGCGGTGGTACAGCGTCACAAGTTTGATGCTCGGAACAAGTGTAGATGACTTCTCTCATCCCCCAGTTGAAAGCGTTCCTGAATTATACATGGGACGGCGATGTTGCGCGTGCAAACAAGAGAGGAAGACCTGGGGCAATATGCAATGCAACTGATACCAGCAGAGGGCACGGCAAGGGCATGCATCAGTGCGATAAGCCTGCATCCACCATACTCCACTCCGCCCGCCTCGACACTCCAAGCGGAGTGGCGCTACGGCACTCACATAGATGAGGTCGGCATTGAAGCGTTTCCTCATGTTGTCCACGAACGCCTCCTGACTCTGGTAGTCCTCCAGCAGGACGAAGTCCTCCACACCGATCGTGTGCCGGTGCTCCAGGGCGCGCTCCATGGCGACCGGTCACGAGTCACGATCACGGGTCACGAATCGCAGCCTTCGGATTACGGTCACGGGCCTGCTCGCAGCGGCACGCGGCTCCTGTCGGCACGGACACACGTGTCAGCGACGTGCGCTCGCGCGCGGCCCGTCCCGACCGGCACATGGAGGCATGCCGGAACAGGGGCGGCCGCTGCAGGGAGCTGGAGGGGGCGAGGGGGAGGGGGGGGGGGGCTGGCAGCTCGTGGAACCAGCGCGTCGAATGCTACCCAACACGGTCGATGCTCTCCGACTCTATTTGCTTCGTTATAATTGGATTGCTTCTCAATGGTCGCCACTCGCAAACAAATGACATTTGAGCGGAGCGACAAACACGGCCCGAGCCACAGACGGACCGGCGCGTCAGCTACCCCTCGTGCCCCGGTCTACGGGCCGGCGGCCGGGAGACGCCCTCCCGAGCGGTGTCCACCTCCCGCGCTGCCACCCGCTGTGGGGTTTCTGAGCGAGGGGTGCATGGGTCGCTGATCGATACACCAGAGGGCGCCCAGACAGAGCCGCTCCCGTCCGGGGGTAGGGGGGGGATGGGGGTGGGGGCGGGGCATGACTGGGGCCAGACTGTCCAGCGTCCGTGGCGCCTGACGG